GAGATTTTTTCTTTTTTGATAAATTCTTCGATATCACCGACTGCGATCAGGAACTGACCATTCGGTTTAGCGTGACGCGTTGCGACACGTGCAATTAACATACTGTTGCCTGAATTTAAATTCTTGTACTCAGAATGAAGAGGTAAACTTGTATTACGGAAATCAAAATTGCACTAATAATTATAATCTTATAAAAATCAGGCTTTTTTATTGTTAGTTGCAGCTGTTGCTAAATCAAAATAAAATAGCTCCCATTTAAGGGAAGAAATACATTCGCTGAGCTAGAATTTTTTATAAATTCCACATGTACGTTAGAAATAAGGGACTATGAAAGCTGGTTCAGAAGTCAAATGATAACTATGTGGTTAGGTACCATGCTCAGAAAGCTTCGGTTTTTTAACTTTTTTCGTGGATGGGTGAAACGGTGCAAACAGTTCTGCAATTCCAACTTTACCATGCCCCTATACAGAATGTGGACGCAATTGAAAGATTACGTTTGCGAAACCGAACGCTGTCAGAAAAAATCCTTGTGAGATTTTAGCTTTTTCGATTTTCTGGTTGCACTGTTAGAAAACTCGGCCAAACATAAAATAATTGGCCAACGCACGGGCTGCCCGTGCGAAGATGCGTTTTTTGCATAGTTCTCCGCAGCTTTTGTTGCTACCGGCATCGGGTTTTTCGGCAAATACTTCTAGCTAAATAAATTAAGACTGGCCGCCAGAACTATCAGGAAACACCCCTTTAAAATTTCAGCTTTTTAGCTCTCCTGGCCCCTGAGTTGGCAACTTACTGGAAAAAAACATTCACGGACTCACACTTGGATACCACGCATACTCGATTTCTGGGTTTGAGCTTTTTGAGAGTTACATGGACGGGGGACATCCCCTTAAAATTCCAGTCTTCTAGCTTTTCAGACTCGAGTTAACAGCTTACCCGAAAAAAATTTTGCCGGTCCCGTACGAGGGCACCACGCATATAAGAGGGCTGGGTTTGAACTCTAATATCTACTTGGATGGGGAACACCCTTTAAAATTCCAGTCTTCTAGCTTTTCAGGTTCTTGAGTTAACAACTTACCCGAAAAAAACATTGGCTGGCCCGTACGTGGGTACCACGCGTGCCCAGAGACTGGTTTGGAGCTCGTTAAGGCATACGTGGATGGGGAACATCCCCTTAAAACTTCAGCTTTCTAGCTTTTCTGGTTCCCGAGTTAGCGACTTGCCTGCAAGAAACTTTCATGAACCCGTACGTGAGTACCACGTGGGTAAGACCGCTCCTTTTGGGGATGAGGGCCCATACATGCTTGTAGATTAAGTCTCCAAAGTTTTAACTCTGTAGCTTTCATAGGTCTCGAAATGAAAAATCGGTACAGAGGTGCACCGCACATATAGACACACACACACACACACACACAGACAGACAACCTCTCGTCAATAGGGGTTTTCTGCACTGCATAGCTGCAAAAAACGCATAAAAAACACATCCACGCACACCCACTTACCTATCTGCGCATACACGCATTCGTCCACACACGCACACATACGCGCGTGCCCATACATACACATACACACATACACCACACACATTCACCACACAAACACACACACACACACATACACACATACAAATACAGATTGGGTTTGGACAACTTCCTTTTTGCACCGCTGATGCAGTGTAAAACGCATAAAAGAAATAACGTATTGTAGAAGTTACAAAAACTTATCGGCCTTTTTTCCTTAATAATTTATTTCTGCTCAGTGCTAGTAAAAATTTGAATCAATAAAATAAATATACCAATGCCAACAGATGCATTGCATCCTGTTTTCTCGAGAATTTCGGCACGTATGACTGATACAATTTCCATTACACCTGTGATGCACATTTCCTTGCATAAGGTTTCCAAATCAACATACATCTCATCGCAACTTACAGCACGTATATCAAGTGTATACCTAAAATAACTTCTAACGTACAATGGCAACAAGAGGACGAGAATGCGCCCTTCTCCGGTCAAAAAAAAAAATTTTAAAGTATCCACTGCTCGCATAAATTAGCAACAATCCTAACGAGCTAGCGCTAAGCACGGATTATTTTTCACTGTTTTGGCAAAAAACTGTGCCCAGTTTTAAGAATCGTCAAACAGCACAAAAATCGTTCAATCATATTATACTAATGCAAACTATTTCGGCACACGAAAACGTAGCAAAATACGGGGACAGACTTATTTACCGCAGATTCATGTGTTTTACCGTGTAGCCATGTGCTGCAGCATTGTTGATTATCAGACTACAACGAAAATACAAAAAAAGTTTGCATGAAACATACCCCGAGATGATAGAATAAATTTGTTTTGAGACTTGACGATAATCATCAAATTGATAAGGAAGGCAGATCAGATCAGGACAGGTCTTCTTAGCATCTTTAATAAAACAACCATTGCGAACGCCCTGCGCTCGAGCTTCGTAACTGCACGATGCAATCTCCGACATGCCAGCGCCCTCTGTGCCCTTCAACGCAATGCATGAAAATCAGATAGAGAAAAGTAACAGTGAAAGGATGCCTTTAAATATTTCCGTGATGAACTGCTGAGTTTACTTTTGAGTGAGTGATAGCCACTGGCTTCCCAATTAATTCCGGACGACTTCTTAAAGCTACCGATACGAAGAAGCAATCCAAATCAACGTGACAAATCGTCTCCTTTGGAGCGCTAAAAAATTAAAATATAAAATTTTTACACATAATTTTATCCTTCTGCATAATACTCCTGTAAAATTACAAGTGTACTGAAAATTATCACGGTGGAAGTGCTAAACAGTGCTGGTTGGATTGTCAGGAGAAGACAAGTCCCCAGATGGACCATCCGGACGAAGACGCCCCGCCAACTACTGACCCGAAGAAACATGCTCTGCTGGATGAACCACCAGGATAGGTACTTACTTCGAGTCAAATCTATGCTAACTCAAACTATTCATCACAGGAAAAAGACGAAAACGAATCCTCCTACTCCTCAAAATTTTCATCGGCAAGATGCAGCAGCTTGACGCGAGAGGGGAATTCTTCGGCTGGATTTTCTCGTAACTCAGCAACATATCGCTTCATTTCTTGAGCCAGCGTCGAGATGAGGTGTAACCGCGATCTGAAAATTCCTCTCCTTTTGCAAACAGAGCAACTCCCAGCGAAAAATAATTTAGTGATTTGGGAATTTCCTGATTAAAATGTTCCCGTTATTCAGGGCAGCTGTGCATCGATAGCGAGAAAAGCCCGATTCTGCCAGTGCCAACGCCATGTGCTGAGTTGCTACTAGCAGATTTACTTTGCTCAGGTTATTAATGATTTAAATACACACAGCACCTGCCCCGAAATAGTGGCTGAGGTGCACTCTTTTTCGGCAAAAGACATGATAAAATAAACTGTATGATTAATACAGTTCAGGAATAATTGAGCCAATTTAATTCCACTAACGAGGATTAAAATTGCAATTCAGAATAAATAATAAAATTCACCTCTCGTAAAAATTACTAACAAAATTTGGATCATTGGCTGCATTTCGTGCAACATTTGAATTAGCAGAATTGTTAACCCCAAATCGTTCGGCTACCGCAGCTTGGAATTCAGCATTTTTATATAGCAAATAATCATCTTCACGCAGACGAGTTCCTGCTTTTATGCTAAAATGAAAGGAAGTTTATGAAAATAACAAAAAAAAGAAATTCGACAAAAAGGTACGACGTGTTTCCTGTGAAGCTCGACAAAAAGGACGACGTGTTTTCTGCCAACTCATTTTCGCCCATTCCTTCGCTTACTTCTCACTCCCTCCAGTCCGAAACAACATAAATTCACGCCCAATGCAACGATGCTTGATCGTGCATTTCACAGCAGTAGCACGGCTGGAAACTACCTGTCAAGGATCCACTTTGGATGGATAATTTTTTCCTCCTTTCGAAGCTTTTTTGCTTTGCCAGCGGCCAAATGAGTTGCAACGGTATAAGTTGTCGTGCCATGC